GTGATTCTCCAAAGTTGGTGTAATATTCCCCTGAACCCCACCGTATGCCATGTATACGCCCGGAAAAAAAAAAAAAACTATTTCCCAGAATCCCTATTTCCTGTGAAAAATCTTTGGCCTTTATGTCCACACGCTCCACATCCCAGAGCACCATGAAAAATGGTTCCGTACTTCTTTTCTTTCAGGCTTACATACTGGTTCTTAGCAGGGAATAAGGGAAAATCTTATATGAGCTGTAGTCTTAACTCCTTAAAGGGGGTTAAATAGGGGATTATTGGGGGACCATTACAGGGGTTATTAAGGGGGATACTAGGAGTTTAGACTATAGCTCATATAGGGATTATATGGCTCCCTTGTCCCCTGCTAAGAACTGGTAAGTCTTTCAGGTTGAGGGAGAGAGGACCAGTGCAGGACTGCACGGTCCATCCTAAGGAGTATAAACCCTTAACCCTAAACCCCTAAACCCTATAACCCTAAACCCCTAAGCCCTAAGCCCTATAACCCTAAACCCCTAAGCCCTAAACCCTAAGCCCTAAACTCAAAACTCAAAACCCCTAAACCCTAAGCCCTAAATTCTAAACTCTAAACCTTTCCACGGTGGCCTTCAAGGACCGGAGAGAAAGCAGTAGTCACTCGCTGGGATGCCGCGAGTCGCCAGATTCCCAGCCGTGCGGGGGTGAAACTGGGGGTCCAAGTAGCTATCAATTAGGGGTTTAGGGTATAGGGTTTAGGGTTTGGGAAACTGCAATGTAGGGGTCCAAGTAGCTTGCAATTAGTGGTTTAGGGTATAGGGTTTAGGGTTCAGGGTTTGGAAAATTGCAATCTAGGAGTCCAAGTAGCTACCAATTAGGGATAGGGTTTAGGGTTCAGGGTTTAGGGTTTGCAACTGCAATGTAGGGGTCCAAGTAGCTACCAAGTAGGGGTTTGGGGTTCAGGGTTTGGGAACACCAATTAGGGGTTTAGGGTTCAGCAATGTAGGGGTCCAAGTAGCTACTAATTTTTATGGATGTCTTGTATAAAACTAGTATACCCGCCAAAGGAACCTTCAAAAGATATTGGTAGCTATTTAGGCTTCTACATGTAGCAAGCTTCTCGTTCAAGATTCCTTGTATAGTTCTAGAGTAGGCTATCCTACCAAATGATATCAGGAGGGGTTTAGGGTTTTGGGGGTGACAACAGGAACTGCAGGGCAGGATCGTCCTTCCAGAGTACTTAGAATCTAATCAGACCTCCATACTCTATCTCTTTTTCAGGGTATCTATAGTTTTGTATACAGAATATACCAGAGATAATTTGCAGGATATAGGGTCTAGGTAATCAGGTAGGGCAAGAGGGTTTGCAGGCATTGCATGGGCTGTACATCACTTTCCCCAACGCCCTGGGGGGGTATATTGCTCAGGATTTGTTGTCTAAATGCTAGGCAACTTCGGGAGTGTTGAGATAAACCATGTAGGGGTTTCCAAAGAATTGGGCCCACCTCCACGCCCAACATGTTATGTCCACAATCCGAGTAGTAAGAACTTCCAAGAGGGCGCTCCTAGTTTTGTCTTGCGAATAGTTGGAAAGGGTGATGTGAGCCCACTAGTTCAGATGGGCCTACCGAACCCCAAACCCTAAACCTTGATGCTTTTTGGGGAGGATCCCGTTCTTTGGATTAATGTTTTGCTTTGGGGTTCATGGTGCAGAAGAGGCAGTACTAATCCCCGTGTCAATTTGGGGAAGAACCCGCAACAACATTGCACGCGAAACCCTAGATCCATAGAACCACCTAAACACAGAGTGGGCAAAGCCTATGTTCCCACATTTGTAGGATGGCAGCCGGGTAGATACGCTTTACACTGTTGGGTTCGGAGAATCGCATTCTCATAGAAATGTGTAGATTTTGCCTGGTTTGGTAAACTCAGCGACTGGGTACGCAAGACTCCCCTAAACCCTCAACGCTTCCCCTGTCTACAGTTAGTAATCCCGTTTCAGCTGCCCTTGGCCTGCTGCGTTGGCTCGATGGAAGGCTTTCAACAGAAGATTGGGCCTTGGCCTCTTACAACTTAAAACCAGTGACTCGTAGAAAAGTGCTGCGCGCAGACGTATCATCTTAGTACTGATTGTTGATGCTATGGTTGCCGTCATTATCCATGCCAGCAATACTCCAATCCGCCTGTTGGGCTTTGCTGCGGATATTCTGCAACCCCCGCAACCATCATGTGCAGTAGACCGCCTACAGCAGTAGCAGAACATCCTTTTCCTGTAGAACGGAGATCATGCAAACTGCGATGAAGCTGCTGCAGCTGCTGCTGCATGGTCGGAGTTGAGAACCACAAGCTCCCTAAGAGCTCATTCTTCTACTTGTAGCCTATGCCACTCGAAAAGTACATGGCCAATCTTAAGAACAGCCTATTTGTGGTTCTGGAGTTCAAACTACTTTCCTGATCGCGTCCCGAGCATGGCACGCATTTCTAGCATAATTGCCAAAAGTCAATGAAGCAGGACTCTACATTTGCAGTCCCACTATTTGTAATCTAGGGTAAGAGCTAATCACCGATAAGCAGATGAGGAACTCACAATGAATAAGAACAAGTCAAAAGCAGGATGTAACAGCAGCAGTCATAGTAACAGTACTAGTGATACTGCTGATGTTAAGAAATCCTGCATGACCTTAATGTACTATAGTACCATAGTCCCCGAACCCTAAACCCTAAACCCTAATTAAATTACCATAGTACCATAATCCCCAAGGTTCAAAGGACCTAGGGCCATACAGGATTTGTAGTACCAACCGTAATAATCGACCCACCTCTTCTCTAGTTTAGTCCTTGGGACTTAGCTTGGACCTTAGACCCTTAACCCTTTGGGATTTCCTTATATTCCTATTATAGGTAATTAAGGGTTAACCCTAAGTAGGGGTCCTAAGTGCCACATAGGGTTTAGGGTTGAGGGTGTGATTTTCACTACAGCTCTTCTCTAAATGAGGGATTACAATAGTACCCCCCCCCCGAAGGTCCCCCCCCCCTCAGATTTAGCACCTTATTAGGCTTTATTAAGCCCCATATAGTCCTTATTAGCTCCTTAAACCCTAGGGAGGTACCTTTGGGGGGGTACTATTGTAGTCCCTTACTAGTTTAGAGCACCGTCTGCAGCAGCAATCGTTTTAGGGTTTTTTGGGTTGAAGCTTTGATCTGCCATCTCCGGGCACAGTGGCCGGGAGGCCCCGATATAGACCCCATGCTATAAGCCTTATGCTAGGGACCCCCAAGAAGGCACCCCCAGGCTTTGAAACCCCTTGCATCCTAGCTCCCTCTCGGCAACAACGAACGTCGTTCCCCCTTCCGCAACAGGCCCAGTGACATGTTGACATTATCTTAGGTGTTCCTAACGTGGTGAAGGCCAGCGGGAAAAGGTCATCTAGGTTAGACCCGTTTTACCTCAAATCCAGCCATTCCTGGATTCTTTTCCTTTTCTTAGAGTGGAGCCACCCCCTCAATCATAGCAGCGCGACCTCCTCCTGCTGGAAAGTCGTACATCCAGGGCTTCCCGACAACTGGGCTTCGGCATTGAGCTGGCGCGCAGGGAGCAAGGCTCTTAACTTGGTATCCTGGGTAGGCCCCTGGGATAGTTAATATTTCCCTAATGGGTTTTATAGGGGACCCTATAAACAATTTTTTTCAAGGAGCTTTAGGGTCTTAACTTGGTATCCCTTGTATGTTTCAATTACTTGGTTCATGGGTGATAACAGTGTATAATGCTGGCAAAAGGCAGCGTAACTATAGTAGCTACAACTGCTGACCAACCAATTTGGGGGAGCTTGAACCTACCTAGAACGTCCCAAACAGCTCAGGCTTAATTAAGTTTGAGGGTTTAGGACTTCGAACCTACCTAGAACTAGACACAACAGCTCCGGCTACCTTCAATCTTAAACCCTGCACGTGGCAACGCCCTAAACCCTAAACCCTAAGCAATGGTAATAAACCTCAAACCCTAAACCCCAAGTAATGGTAATAAACTCTAAACCCTAAACCCCTAATCCCCATAGCTTCTCCATTCCCAGCTCTACTTCGCCGTTACTTCGCTCTCTTACAGAACAGAATACTTTACCAATGTCTACGTCTCCGCCAAATAGCTGAAAACCCCACATCCCAACACGACGGTTTTAGGGTTTAGGGTTTAGGGAGAGGGTTTCTTATAACCTTGATCTAGTGCCTTGTGCAGCAAGGCTCTTCCCCTTCGTGGCGCATGCTACAGCCGGCCGCGCGGCTCCTCGCGGCAAGAGCAAGTTCAGGGTTTCGTGAATGTCTAGCGCTTAGCGTTTCTGTTGTTCGATTCGAGCAGAGGGTTGCGATGTGTCGTTTTTTAGGATATGCGGCCCCCAAATACCCTGATATAGGGAAAATGAGTACATTGTATCGGCCCTTTTGGGGATTGTGCGGGGATTATTTTGCTTGGCGCGCATGTCTTGAAGGTATGTTTAGGCTGTAAGGGCTGAGTCATGTTTTGCTTGTGTTTGTCCCATGTGCATCAAGTATGACCAGGCTGCAGCATTAAAACTTTTTTTTTGGGTGCAGATAAGTCTTTTGCACGCACATTTCATGGCATGTGTTGTTTTCGGAGTTTTTGTTCCCATGCCCTTGGGATTTTGAGAGGACCAAGAAGTGTTTAAAGCCAAGCTTTAAAATGTTCTGGGATTCTTCTCATAAGAAAGCTAGATCACCTAGATGTCGATAGCTAGATGATTCCTGCGGCAGTTGCAACGCATTAGATTCAGCTGCTCGGCTCAGCAACGTGTCGAGGGCCCGAATGCTGGGCCAACAGGCCCTCCAAGATACCACCTGAATTCCGCAACTTGAGCTGAGTGTACAGGTGCTATGTGCTGCAACCACTTGGATCACTGAGATGCTTTTACAGACTGGGTTGCTTCTAAGGTCTTAAAACTAAGTCACCATTCCCACATTACCCGCTAAAAACCTCTGTGTAAGGCGGTAGGCCAACAAGCCAGAAGTGACTTGGACTTCCAACTCCAATCTCTGAACCATAGCCGAGCTGCGACCTTTACCACGCCAAGCCGTTCGGTACTTGCAGAAGCCTTTAGACTTACCAATGTTATTCCGTCATAGCACAGAACTGTAGTAGAATATGCATGGCCTGAAATCCTTTTCTGAATACATTGGCCCTACGTTAATCCCTGCATAAGCCCAAGTTTCATGTTGTGTTCCGTGTTCTTTTTCATTTAGTTCTCTATTAGTCTAATTAATTTGGCTCCCATCGGCTTGATATTGCCCCACTCTGCAACTGTTGGATAAGATTTTAAAATGTAGTTATATATCACCCTCAATATGACCCTTAATAAAGATTGCTACAGTGTGGGGACAGTACTCAACCTAGGGGGGTAAGTCAGCCGCCGAACTCTTTGGCATAGTCTGGGTTCCTCGCTTGAGGGTGTGTAACGATCCATATGAGATTGTGAGATTTGGGCGCGTGTACTTTGAACAGTTGTGTGTGTTTTCGTGTTTGCCGCCCAGTTGCAAAAACTGAGGCCTCACTCAGATACTCCCAAGGAGGATAATCCTGAACATAGGGACTCCCAGAAGCAAGCTGTTACTTCTTTAAAGTCTCCATATGGGTTGTTCTCAAAATTATGGGCCCTTTTGGTTATGGATCATAT